GAGTTATAATTTTGTTTCTTTAATATCCTAACACTACACTGTAGCAGACACCAGCTCTAGAGGGAACATGCTGTAAGAAATCCACTTTTGGGAAAAAGTACTGAGTATATAACTCTTAATTCCTTTCATTCACAACATAGGAACATACAGAAACACAAACCAAGAACACCGATTCATTAAAAGTTTGTCAACAATTCCAACACCCAGGAACTGTCTTAGAGTGCAGCATGCATATAACAAAGAGTAAGCAAGTCCCAGCAGTAAAATATTTCACTATAAGAGACAGAAAGGAAAATCTACAGCCTAAATTTCTTTCTGTTGTGAAAAGTCCTATCTTACTCAAGAAACGTCTCGTCCTGAATCAGCTTGAATATCAATAAACGTGCATTTTTAAAATAACAGTTACACACAACCATATTCCTCATGGTAAGGTCTCCTATTTACAGGGCACGTCTATGGTCATAGCTATATTTCCAGAACAACAGATTAAGCCTTACTACAGAGAGTCTGCAATAACTGTAGAAGAAAACAAGTTTTCACAACACAATTGAATACAACGTAATTGATTTATATCTTTTAGTTTCACTGTAGCCAAAGGCTGAGAACCATGAAATTCTGCCATAAAACTTACTTTTCTCAGTGCACCTCTTTTGCTGCTTGCAGCACTATTGAGTCCCTCATATAAAGAGGTTCAATGACATTGATTATCCGAAAGAGAAAAAAAAAAAAAATAGAAAAGCAGATGTCTAACAAAAAAATCCACAGTTTGCAATACTGTTAGTCCTAGTACAAACCCTCAGCTTAGTATGTGAAGTAATCACCCATCACTGACAACACAATCATCACAATGTTAAAAGGTAAGCTAGATGCCTGAAGTGGTCTCAATACCTTTAGCTCTTTCAGTATACTCCAGGAAACCTGAATAGCTGAAAATAGCTCCATGTTATTTGCCAAAAGAGTAAAGAAAGACTTAATTGCAAGTTTTCTTAAAATTCTTTGCCAAAGCTTCAATCTAACATAAAAGACCTTACTCTTCAAGAATAAATTGGTGAACTTTCATGTGCTCAATATTTGGATTTCTCCAAAACTTGAAAACTAAATGGCATATATGCATGACTGAAAATTTAGCAACGCATACTGGTGTTTTCAAGGGACTGTAGTGAATTAGACATGAATCTTTTCTTTGTAACCTTGGTAGTCTTTGTTCAAAAAGAACAGAAATTAAATAGTTTAGCGTATCACTTCTCACTTGCAATAGCCAACCTCTTTCTCAGGATAAGTATATAAGTGTAAATTTCTAGAGCAGCAAATCTCCATCAAATCTCACAGTTAATGTTGCTGATCTTTTGAATTCAGTAAAACTAAAATTTGTCTTTCACATTTCTATTTTGGTATAGTTGTCTTTACACATAGAATGAAAAGCTTCAGATGCATGCATTCCAATTCAAGTATTTTTATTACAATAGGCAAGAGCGAAATGTGAAAACCATATTCGCTTTCTTGGGGCTCTGAATGAAATGAAAGCGAGCAATGCAGCAAATGATAATAAGAACAAATGAGCAACAGAACACCTTTCAACTGTTCCCTCGTTCTTCTCTACGCACAGCGGCTCCCCACACAGAGTTACTGATCATCTTGTTGAAGTCTGCCATCTTCTCGTCCGATGACACATTGTCATTTGTTTCTTGGGTCTTACCTATTCACTTTTGATCCTAATTGGATCTAACATTCTCCAAAATAACAATTTGCCAAGCCATATCTTTATTAAATGTTGTTTCTTGTTTTGCAAGTAATTGTATTTCTTCCACCATTTCTTGATCACTGACCCTCAATCCACCACTGCTGATCTTTGACCCTTTTTCTATTGTCATTTCACTTCATTTCATTTTATTTCCATCTTAAGGATTTTTTCTGGGTTCATCTTTATCTCAATTTACTTTAAAATCTCTCCACCCCATGCTCAAAACTGCCATCCCTCTTCTGCAACAGCATCCACCCTTTGCAGGCAAAATTTAGTATCTTTAATGTTCACTTCCTTGATTTTTTCTGTTCTTCAACCTAGAAACTTCGGCTGTCTACATTTCTTCCATTATAACTCTGCAATTAGGTCACGCATCTTGCCACCAACTCTATTTTTCCTATCTTTCTCACTGCTTGTTTTCAATTTATCAGTTGCTTGTGACTCATTCTAAATTACTCCATTTCTTACTTTCTTATCCATGTAAGATCTAGATTACATTTTAAAAAGCAAAGGTGGCCACAAATCTCTCTTATAGCATCTTCATTCTCCTTCTATTGCCAGTTGAGGTTTCATATTAGTACACTACTCCAAAAACGTATATATTTGATTATCTCAATCCTTCAGCTTATTATTCATTATTTATCTAATATTCCAGGATCCAGGACTGAATTTTCTAGTACTTGCACATTGCCTACCTAGGGCTATGTACCCTGAGATTAAACGATACTACTAAGCACAGCTGCAAAAGATAGCAAAAACTGGCAGATCCATAGGAAAAAACAAGGAAAGGTTTACAATGCAAACAATGAAATGCACAAAGAAATTATTGCAGTAACAGGTTAGAATGACATAAAATAGAAGGTGGAGGATGTCAGCATTCTTTAGGTATTTAAAACAAGATGGTGAGCAGGGAAACAAAAGTCATTGGGAATTTCAGCTCCTATTCAAAATTTTGCCATAAAAATCTGCAGTTACTTTTGATATTTTTGTTCCATCTCATAAGACAGATGAGAACGAAACAAGTGTAAGATGGGAATATATGCACACTCAGTGCTTTTATTTTGGACCCATATATTCTGAAGAGCTTGTATCACCACCATGCTTTACCAGCTGAGTAGAAGTGAATCAGCAAGTAACTTGAGTCCAGTCAAGTGACTACCAGCATGCTTTTACACAAAAAATTCAATGGATTTCATAGCTGCAGAATAAAGTTGTAAATCCAGCATTTAAAATACTTTAACACCCAATTTACTCTTAAAATTAACAATATTAGAGCAGCATAAATTTATATTTCATTAAAAGCTTTTTCATTGAATTTCAATTGCAAGACTTCTTTCAGTGCATTCAAAAGAACTGTTTAGAACCTTTTTTTTTAAAATACAGTCCTTGAAGTGAATATTTACTGTATAACTTCTGAGAACAACGAATACGTGGATGACAGTAAAGAGCAGGAGAGAAGTTATGCATTACACAAAAACTTTGCTGAATGTTCTGCTCATATACATTTAGGATGCAGTTGCAAGTCAGAGCTGAGCAGCTCCAACAGTTTGCCACCTACAAACTAGTCACCTCTGTCTATTCCTGCTTATGAACAAAAAATTCTGCTCTATTCACTGGGCCCTTCCGCTAAGGCTTTTCAATTATAGCTCTCTGTGGGCTATTAAGGGATGAGCACCAGAGCCTGTGCAAGGAGGCATGAAGGAGCAGTGTGGGGGCAGGTACCATGGGACAAAGGAGAGACAAAAGGCAAACAAAGCAGAAGACATTTTCCATTTCGGTAATGTCAAACCACTGTTTCAGTTTAAGCTGTAGTTTTAACTTCACCCACATACTCAATGCATAGAAAACTTGCTGGACTCAGTACAAAGAAAGAGTGCTGGCTGCCTTGTAAAATGAACTTTTCTTTCTTGTGCATTTCAACTCCCATTTCCCAGTCCAGATTTAATGCCTCTTTGCAGTGCCCGCTATGCTGGCAACAGCTGTCTCCTGCTGTTAACACACCAAGTGATCTCCTGTTTTGCTGGTTAAATTCCTTTCTTACAACTTGCTTCTTTTACCTAATCATCCAGTGTTGACCTCCTTGAGTACTTTAATCTTGAATTTTTGCGGTTTCCACTTACCTGTGCTTGTATCAATTGAAAACAGATTGTAAGATCTTCCGGAAGAATTAAAAAAAGAAACCAAACAGAAAACCCAACCACACTACGGCC